AAAAAAAAAAAAAAAAAAAAAAGAAATATATTGCTTTTATTTACATTAGTGCTAACTTGAAGGCTAAGGACTTTGTCTTCTCAGGAGCAAAGTTATGCAGAGAATTCAACAAAGACCTCAAACATGACATCTATTAGAGTCTCATCATGGTAACCCAATGCTTTTTGTAATTTTGCGTTTGTACACATCACACTTGGATTACATACCCCCTGGAGCATTTTCAGATGAGTCTTAATGTCCAAAGAGCAGGTTTGATAAACAATGAAGCGTCACATATAGCCTGTAAATCTGATCTTGTTTTCTTAAAACTGGCATTTTTTTGTTTTTTGTATGTTTGGGTTTTTTTTCAAATTATAAAAATTATTGGCCAGGCTTGGTGGCTCATGTGTGTAATCCCAGCACTTTGGGAGGCTGAGACGGGCAGATCACGAGATCAGGAGATCAAGACCATCCTGGCCAACATGGTAAAATCCTGCCTCTACTAAAAATACAAAAATTAGTTGGGCATGGTGGCACATGCCTGTAATCCCAGCTACTTAGGAGGCTGAGGCAGGAGAATCACTTTAACCAGGGAGTCGAAGGTTGCAGTGAGCCGAGATCATGCCACTGCACTCTAGCCTGGGCAACAGAGCGAGACTCTGTCTCAACAAAAAATAAAGGCCGGGCTAGGTGGCTCATGCCTGTAATCCCAACCCTTTGGGAGGCCGAGGCGGGCAGATCACCTGAGGTCAGGAGTTCGAGACCAGCTTGACCAACATGGAGAAACACTGTCTCCACTAAAAATACAAAATTAGCTGGGCATGGTGGCACATGCCTGTAGTCCCTGCTACTTGGGAGACTGAGGCAGCAGAATTGCTTGAACCCAGGAGGCAAGAGGTTGCAGTGAGCCGAGATCATGCCATTGTACTCCAGTCTAGGCAACAAGAGTGAAACTCCATCTCAAAAAAAAAAAAGTTATTTATGCCTATAGAGGCCAAAGTACAGAGGAAAATGATAATCACTTATAATCCTGCTATATAAAGAATAATACTGAGTATTTCACATTTTCTTCTGTACGTTTCTGCTATGCATGTTCGCTTATTAAGATATACTATATTTGCAATTAAATATCACCCTTTTTATTAGATTAACAGTGTACCATAAACATTTCACCATATCACAAGTGTTTAAACTCTGAGGTCCAAATGCCTGTGTTCGAATATTGCCTTCCCTATTTACTGTTTGAGTGGCCTTGGACAAGATACTTAACTTTCCTGTATCTTTCTTTTCCCCATCTTTAAAATGACACCAGGCTGGGCGTGGTGGTTCCTGTAATGCCAGCACTTTGAGAGGCCAAGGTGGGAGGAACACCTTGAGCCTAGGAGTTCAAGACCAGCCTGGACAATAATTGTGAGACTCCATCTCTACTAAAAATAAAAAATTAGCTGGCGTGGTAGCATGCACCTGTGGTCCCAGCAGCTTGGGAGGCTGAGATGACAGGGTAACTCAAGCCCAGGAGGTCAAGGCTGCAGTGAGCTGTTACTGCATCACTGCACTCCAGCCTGGGTGAAAGAGCAAGACTTCATCTCAAAAAAAAAAGGGGCGGGGGGACACTAATAGACTTTAAGTGTTTAATGAAATCTTTGCCCCATTTCATCTGTATCTTTAGGACTGAGTTCTAAAAAGTAAAATTGATGAGTCAAGGGATATGATTGGTTTAAAATAATTGTTACCTGAATTGCTTTCCTGAAATTTTCAGTCCCATCAGCTGTGAGAATGGCATTCATTTCTTCCTTGTCAACACTGGTCATCACTTTTAAGTCTTTATTAATTTTATAGATACAATAGATGCATTCTCTTCTCTAATTACTAAAATAGATGCATTTTTTCTTTAATTACTAGTTAAATTGAAAGTGTTATATTAACTGTCCTTTTTTATGAATTGCCTATTCTTTTTTTTTTTTTTTTTTTAAGATGGAGTTTCACTCTTGTTGCCCAGGCTGGAGTGCAATGGTGCAATCTCAGGTCACTGAAAGCTCCACCTACCGGATTCAAGCAATTCTGCCTCAGCCTCCCAAGTGGCTGGGATTACAGGCATGCGCTACCACACCTGGCTAATTTTGTATTTTTAGTAGAGACAGTGTTTCTCCATGTTGGTCAGGCTAGTCTCGAACTCCTGACCTCAGGTGATCCACCTGCCTCTGCCTCCCAAAGTGCTGAGATTATAGGCATGAGCCACTATGCCAAGCCAAATTATCTATTCTTTCAAGATTAAAGGTATTTGTCTAAGAGGAGCTATTTATTTTTAGCCAAGGCATAATGGGGGCCAGGCTCAGTGGCTCATGTCTATAATCCCCCAACACTTTGCAAGACTAAGACAGGAAGATCACTTGAGTCCAAGAGTTCAAGGCCAGCCTGGGCAATATAGCAAGACCCCATCTTAGAAAAAAGAAGACATAATGGGAAAAAAACAAAAGACAAAAAAAGATGGCCGGGCGCAGTGGCTTATGCCTGTAATCTTAGCACTTTGGGAGGCTGATGCAGGTGGATCACCTGAGGTCAGGAGTTCAAATCAGCCTGGCCAACATGATGAAACCCCTTCTCTACTAAAAATACAAAACTTAGCTGGGCATAGTGGCACATCCCAGCTATTCGGGATGGTGAGACAGGAGAATTGCTTAAACCTGGGAGGCGGAGATTGCAGTGAACTGAGATCATGCCATTGCACTCTAGCATGGGCAGCAAGAGAGAAGCTCCATCTAAAAAACAGAAAGACATAATAAAAAGCATGAGAAATACATGATACTACTGTCTTTTTTTTTTCTTTGACACTACTGTCTTGTGCTTGTCTTACCCTTTCCTAGGAAGCTTTATAAGCGATATGCTTTTCTACGTTGTGAAGAAGAGAGAGAGCAGTTTCTTTACCACCTTCTTTCTCTCAATGCTGTGGACTATTTCTGCTTCACCAGTGTGTTCACTACTATCAGTAAGTCTAGAGAATTGACTGTTAAGTGAGGGGTTACTGAGGTGGCTAATGGAATAAAAGCATTTATATTTTTAAACGCAAGATATGCCTTAGTACATGTGACACTGTGACATACCCCCAGATCTCTGTTTAGGAATAAAGAATATTCCCCAAATGCTAGGAGTGCTACAGGAAACTCTTGGCTGTCAGGCTGTGGTGAATGCCTTACTAAAGAAAAGTACCTCACTAGAGATGATCCCTTCTGCCAGGGCCAGCTAGCATGGCTGAACAAAGGGCTGTATCTTAGTCCCAGAGCTCACCATGGGGGTCAGATGAGGACTTCATTGAGACTGCCTCAAAGCTTAACATCTTGCTTAACCAGTCCTGCTCTCCTTCTCACACGTTGATCCCAGGAGCAGCACTGTGCATGCTAATTTCTGACTCAGAGATTGCTTTCCAAGAAACTCAGTCTTTGATAGGAAATGTTACCTACAATATATGTGAAAAGGAATGTTTTATAAATGAATATTCCAGTATCTTAACTAAAACACATAAATTCAAAGTATCTGTATATGATAATAATAAACTTATATAATTAGACATCATTCAACTTTGGAAAGAAATGCTGATTGGAGTTTTTTGGGGTTTTATTTTATATTTTTTTGAGACCGAGTCTCACTGTCACCCAGGTTGGAGTGCAGTGGCATGATCTTGGCTCACCGCAGTCTCTACCTCCCGGGTTCAAGTGATTCTCCTGTCTCAGCCTCCTAAGTAGCTGGAATTACAGGCACACCCCACCACACCTGGCTAATTTTTGTATTTTTAGTAGAGACGGAGTTTCACCATAGAGACGGGCTTGTCTCAAACTCCCTCAAGTGATCCACCTGCCCCAGCCTCTCAAAGTGCTGGGATTACAGGCATGAGCCACCATGCCTCACCTGGAGATTTTTTGTTGTTGTTTTGTTTGTTTTTGAGACAGTGTCTGGTGCTGTTGACCAGGCTATGCAGTGGCGTGACCTTGGCTTACTGCAACCTCCACCTCCTGGGTTCAAGCAATTCTTCTGCCTCAGCCTCCCAACTAGCTGGGATTACAGGTATGTGTCACCATGCCTGGCTAATTTTTGTATTTTTAGTGAAGACAGGGTTTCACCATGTTGGCCAGGCTGGTCTCAAACTCTTGACCTCAGGTGATCCACCCACCTCAGCCTCCTAAAGTGCTAGGATTACAGGCGTGAGCCATGGCACCTGGCCAAGAGAGGAATTTTTTTATAGAAAACCGAAATATAGCCGGGCACAGTGGCTCAAGCCTATAATCCCAGCACTTTGGGAGGCCAAGGCGGGCGGATCACGAGGTCAAGAGATCGAGACCATGGTGAAATCCCATCTCTACTAAAAAATACAAAAGTTAGCTGGGCGTGGTGGTGCACACCTGTGGTCGCAGCTACTCAGGAGGTTGAGGCAGGAGAATTGCTTGAACCCAGGAAGTGGAGGTTGCAGTGAGCCGAGATCACGCCACTGCACTCCAGCCTGGCGCCTGGCAGCAGAGCAAGACTCTGTCTCAAAAAAAAAAAAGAAAGCCGAAATATAGCATTTATTCTTTTCTTTATTGCTAATTCTTATTTGCAATGGGTCTTCTTTCCTACTTTGGAGAATTTTTACTTGTATCAATTAGGGATTGCATTTAGTGGCAGGTATCAGAAACTTGAAAACCTATGGTTGAAACAGCTTAGTAATTTCACTTACATAATAAAGGTCTCAAGGTAGGCAGTGGGCAGTGCTGTCACTGACCCAGGCTCATTGTCCCTTCTCCCTTAGACATGCTCCGTGTGTGCTAGTTACCTCATGGTTTCAGCATGGCTGTTCTCAACATACCTTCTAGCAGGAAGGAGAGAGTGCCAGGGAGGGGCAGAATCTGTGCTAGAAAGACATAATTTTCCAAAAAATCTCAATAAATATCACTAACATTTCACTGGCCAGAATTGTGTAGGTTTTAGCTTTCCAGTCTCTGGTAATGGCAAAGGAAAAGAGAATTGGCATGGGGATTAGACCAGCCTATAATCCTGTCAAGTTACTATTTGTTGATTAGGTTACTGCAGGTACAAGAAACTAAGAAGTTATATGCAGTTTTAAAATCGAAGAGGCCAGGTGCAGTGGCTCATGCCTGTAATTCTGGCACTTTGGGAAGGGGCAAGGCGGGTGGATCATATGAGGTCAGGAGTTTGGGACTGACCTGGCCAATATGGTGAAAAATCATCTCTACCAAAAAATACAAAAGTAGCCAAACGTGGTGGCGCGTGCCTATAGTCCGAGCTATTCTGGAGCCTGATAAAGGAGAATCACTTGAACCTGAGAGGCAGAGGTTGCAGTGAGTCAAGGTCACGCCATTTCACTCCAGCCTGGGTGACAATGTGAGACTGTATCTCTAAATAAATAAGAAGAAATAGTAGTAGAGGTTGTTAGGATTCCTAAGGTCCTCCTTATATCTGTAGATTTCTCTTCATCTGAGTAACTCTTTCAATTTGAGGAATTCTTCATGAAAGAAAATTTTAAATTTAATTATATTGCTTTTCCATGCTTAAACTATGAAATCACTGTTGTGCATCTGTGGGCCTTTTGCAGCCACAGAACTGCTGACCCTAAACATGCCTTTTTCTGCAGGTTTTCTTATCCTATCAATGCAAGAAATGAGAGAAGCCTCTGGCACTTAATAGTCTTATGCTAACCTCTTCCGCTTTCAGTTTCAAAACTCATTTGATTCTGATGATTACTAAACCATAAAAGTAAGGCCTTTTCTCTGACATTTTCCTATCCTAAAGCCAAAATAAAAGGACATGAATGGAGACTATTCACCTAACATAAAGAAAGCCATTTATGTAAAATTAAGGAAATGAACCATTTATCTGATGCGCTTTCCTCATCTAAGAGTGCACTGAACCATGAGCTCATACTGTCAGGCTGTATCTAGGCACCTTCAGTAAATGTTTTTCATCCTATGTGTAGATCTTTCAAGGAGGGCTTCAAACACCCCCCCTCTTATGATCAAATGAGAAGAAATACCAAGGATACCAACAAAAAATACTGATTCTACCCTACTTTAAAAAGAAAACCAGACTGGGCATGGTAGCTCATGCCTGTAATCCCAGCACTTTGGGAGGCAGAGGTGGCAGATCATCTGAAGTCAGAAGGTTGAGACCAGCCTGGCCACCATGGAGAAATGCTGTCTCTACTAAAAGTACAAAAATTAGCTGGGCATAGTTGGCACATGCCTGTAATCCAAGCTACTCCAGAGGGTGAGGCAAGAGATTCGCTTGAACCTGGGAGGTGGAGGTTGCAGTGAGCCGAAATCGCCCCACTGCACCCTAGCCTGGGCATCAGAGCAAAACTCCATCTTAAAAAATATATAAGGCTGGGCGCAGTGGCTCATGCCTGTAATCCCAGCACTTCGGGAAGCCGAGGTGGGTGGATCACCTGAGGTCAGGAGTTTGAAACCAGCCTGACCAACATGGTGAAACCCTGTGTCTACTAAAAATAGAAAATTACTCAGGCGTGGTGGTGCATGCCTGTAATCCCAGCTACTCAGGAGGCTGAGGCAGGCGAATCACTTGAACCTGGCCAGCAAAGGTTGCACCACTGCATTCCAGTCTGGGCAATAGAGTGAGACTCCGTCAAAGAAATACATACAGACATACGTACATGGCAGGTGGCTCACACCTGTAATCTTAACACTTTGGGAGGCCAAGGCCGGCCTATCTCTTGAGCTTAGGAGTTCGAGACCAGCCAGGGCAACGTGGCGAAACCCTGTCTCTACTATAATTACAAAAAAAAAAAAAAAAAATAGCTGAGCATAGTGGTGCACACCTGTGGTCTCAGCTACTCAGGAGGCTGAAGTGAGAGGATCACTTGAACCCAGGAGATGGAGGTTGCAGTTAGCTGAGATCGTGCCACTGCACTCTAGCCTGGGTGACAGAGTGAGACCCTGTCTCAAAAAAATTTTTTATATTATAAAACAGGCCAGGTGCAGTGACTCATGCCTGGAATCCCAGCACTTTGAGAGTCCAAGGCGAGAGGATCGCTTGAGTCCAGTTCAAGACCAGCCTGGGCAACATAGTAAGACCCTGTCTCCACAAAAGAACAATTAAAAAGTTAGCTAGGGCCAGGCACAGTGGCTCACGTCTATAATCCTAGCACTTTGGGAGGCCGAGGTGGGTGGATTGCCTGAGCTCAGGAGTTTGAGACCAGCCTGGGCAACACGGTGAAACTACGTCACTACTAAAATACAAAAGAAATTAGCCTGGTGTGGCAGCATGCACCTGTAGTCCCAGCTACTTGGGAGGCTGAGGTAGGAGAATTGCTTGAACCCCAGAGGCAGAAGTTACAGTGAGCCAAAATCACAGCAGTGTACTCCAGCCTGGGTGACAGAGCGAGACTCTGTCTCAAAAA